ATGGCACTATATATTTATACATTTATATATCTGGTGCTTGACGCTACATAAAAGACATGCATTTTCTATTGAGAAATGATCACTGCATGGTTTTTTTTTTTTTTTCTAATTTTAAATATTATTTACACAAAATTCTACTGTACTTGCTAGCTAAAAGGAAAACTCTTCTTCCAGTACTACTGGATTTTTTTCTCTGCCATTTTTTCCTTTTGGGAGAGAGGAAGAAAATGCAATTGAAATCAGTCCAATATTATTTAAGACTTCTGCACAAAGTGCTGAAGCTGTTATACTGCTTGGCTTAAGATTGAAAACATATAGCTGTTACTAGACAATACTAGACTAATGCTTACAGTAAATGCCTCTGTAGAAACTTCACTATCACACTGCGTTACAAAAATATCACAGAAGATAACACGATTCGCCACAGAAAAAGAGCTGCTTTATATATGCTGGCCACAGGTACCCCAAAGAGTAAGCTGAAAAACTTAAAGCCTCCCCAAATGGGTGAAAAAGCAGGCTTCCAAACCACATTTTCAACGCATGCTTCAGCTTCCACAAAGCGAAAGCACACAGAGTACAGACCAGCGAGGCACCCAATGCGCTCGCCTCTCTCCAGAGTCCTTCCGAACTAAGACAACTCAAACAAATCCTTATTTACATTACAGATTTACATTTTTACAGTCGGGGGGCCTGATCCTCTGGTCCTTACTCAGAATTTACTGAGTTGATAGTAGTGGTTGGTAGTACTGACCATGCACAGAGGTACCGCGTCTCTCCTAGGGCTTTCACAGGTAAGATTTTCCAGCGCTTATTTCCAAACCTTGGCAAGCTGGGTAAGAGTTGCCTATTATTATTATTGTTATTATTATTACTACTACTACTACTATTACTATTATTATTACCACTACAAGTACTACTGCTACTATTAAGGCATGGTTGCAGAGGAGGAATGATTCTAAAAGAAGCTGCAAACTGTGCGGTTCCTCTTCCACCTTTTTATCTATATATCGCTATTCTTTTCTTTAAGGAGAGCTTGCACAAATGGTTTAAGTAATTAGTGATGGATTCAGGCAGTGTAGCCACTCAAACATGGCTGTCTTCTGATCTAGAACGAGCTGATCAAACACCAGTAAGTTAATTATTTCAGACACTGTACAGTAATCACCAAGCCCAACTGTGAACACTTACAATCAAAACAGGTATTATTTTCTGCACTAGAAGACAATCTCATGATCTATATATGTCAAAACTAATATATATAATGCCTAAGCTTCCAACAGAAACCTAAACTACTGATGCCCACTGCCAGGAGGTATCAATATGGACCTGTTCAGCATTTCAAGATAATAACCAGTCTAGTGTACTAATTCATGAACTCAAAGAAGCAGCAGTTTGCATTTGAAATGCAACTTGTGGAAAATTACAGCAGTCTAGGTATTTCTGAGCCGATCAGCGCTTAGCTCTGTTCTCAGGGAAATAAATGGTTAGTCCTCTGCTATCACAAGGAAACCAGGCTTGCGCCCAGACTAACTGGGGACCTACAGCTCTGTTTTCTATTCCTCCTTCCCTCAGCTTCCCAGCCATAAAAATAGTGAGAATAATTTTCAAACTACCAATCCAAGTACATTCATCTCATCATCTGTCTCGAAATACTCAAGGACTACTTTTGAAAAATATTTCAGAGAACAACGCTAGGGAGTCATTAGGGTTTTTTTTTCCCCAAAAAAATCAATTTCAAAGTAGATATACAAAGAACTCCACCACAGTACTGTCCATTTAGGACAAATTATTTTGGCATTTCTTAAGAAATCAAACAAGTGAAATCTCTCTCAAAGCTTCACTTCCTTGGACCGGCAAGCAAGCAGGGCACACCGATGGCCTCCATGTAAACGCTGCTTTGCCATAGATGATGGTACGTTCCCTGCACAGCACAGGGAGGCTACTAAGATGCTTCACGGAACGACAGACTATCCAACAACTCCTACTTTGCCTTTATTCACATCAGAAACACCACTGAAATTAATGGGATTGAAAGAGTACAGACTAGTCAGGCAAACAGCAGTCGTCGTGGTCTTGACCCAAACAAGCACTCCAGAGTCGGGCAGAGGGGGAGCAAGATTGAAAACAACAACTGAAATATTTTTAAATATGTATGTGTCTATTGGAGAAATGAACATCGCCTCAGTATTACACAAATGAGTTTTTTAACATTCCTTTCAGTAGTACTTACTAATATGAAAGCGCTAAGGCGCTGTATTTATTGTCCCTTCTGAAGCGTAGGTCCTCACCAACTTCAACAGGGAATAAAGCTTAAAAGCATATGCATCCACATGAAAGGATATTTTTGTTGTTTGTTAAAACCTGATGACATTATGAATGACAAGACAGCAATACCAAAATTTTATCATTGCTCCCAATTATTAAAAATTTTAAAAGTTAAAATAGTAAGCTAAAAATTATTTTTTGTTTTCGGTTACAGCATCTACCTATCACAGGAAAA